GAGATGGGAAATGCCGAGACCGCCCACTGAGATCAGGAGCTTTCTGGGATTGGCCGGCTATTATCGAAGGTTTATCAAGGATTTCTCCAAGATCGTCGTGCCACTTACCAAGATGACCCAGAAGGGTGTTGCATTTTCATGGGGTCCGGAGCAGCAGTCCTCATTCGAGACCCTTCGTCAGAAATTGTGCGAGGCCCCGGTGCTTGCACTCCCGGAAGGGATGGAGGATTTTGTGGTATACTGTGATGCATCTATATCTGGATTAGGGGCGGTGCTTATGCAGAGGGGACACATTATAGCGTATGCTTCGAGAAAACTGAAGCCTCATGAGTCAAGATATCCCACCCAGAACCTGGAATTGGGGGCTGTAGTGTTTGCCCTCAAGATCTGGCGACACTATCTTTATGGGGTTCGATGTACCATATACATGGACCACAAGAGTCTGAAGTACTTGATGGATCAGCCAAATCTGAATATGCGTCAGAGGAGATGGTTGGATGTGGTGAAGGATTATGATTGTGAGATCCTGTACCACTTGGGCAAGGCTAATGTCGTAGTCGATGCGTTGAGCCGTAGGGCGGAGAGCGCCCCGATCCGAGACGTTTGTATGAGGTTGACGGTGATGACTCCGATTTTGGACACCATCCGAGGGGCCCAGGCTGAGGCTGCGAGACCAGAAAACCAGAAGAGGGAGCAGGTTGTCGGTCAGGTATCGGAATTCGTTTCGGATGGTCGGGGACTTATGACATTTCAGGGTCGGATTTGGGTACTGTTTATGGGCGGTACGCGTACTATTTTGATGGAAGAAGCGCATCGATCGAAATTCTCGATCCATCCCGGGGCTACTAAGATGTATTTGGACCTAAAAAAGGAGTATTGGTGGCCCTGTATGAAGAGGGATGTTGCATGGTTCGTCAAGAGGTGCCTGACTTGTCGTCAGGTTAAGGTTGAGCACCAGTGTCCGCACGGTAAGTTGCAGCCGCTAAAGATTCCCGAATGGAAGTGGGAACAGATTACCATGGATTTATCACCAAATTGCTAAGGACTGCGAGAGGGGTCGATGCAATTTGGGTGATTGTGAATAGATTGACGAAGAGCGCTCATTTTCTAGCTATCAGTGAGAGCTCTTTTGCGGAGAAGTTGGCAGAGTTATATGTGAGGGAGGTGGTATCGCGACATGGGGTTCCGATGTCGATCGTTTCAGATCGGGATGTACGATTTCACAAGGAGTTGGGTACGAGGTTGCATTTCAGTACCGCATACCACCCGCAGACGGACGGACAGAGCGAGCGAATGATTCAGACGCTCGAGGATATGCTCCGAGCATGTGTTTTGGATTTCGAAGGGAGTTGGGACACCTATTTACCCTTAGTAGAGTTTTCATACAACAACAACCATCATTCGAGCATTGGTATGCCACCCTTTGAGCTGTTGTATGGGAGGAGGTGTCGCACCCCCATCTACTGGGGAGAGGTGGGGCAACGGGTAATGGGTAGCACAGAGATTGTACTATAGACGACCGAGAAGATACAGCAGGTCAGGCAGAGACTGTTGACCGCGCAGAGTTGCCAGAAGAGTTATACGGACAGGCGTTAGTCCTAGCTCGAGTTTCAGGTTGGTGACCTTGTGCTCTTAAAGGTCTCTCCTTGGAAAGGAGTGATACGATTCAGGAAGAGGGGCAAGTTGGGACCCCGATATATTGGACCTTTCAGGGTAATTGCTAGGGTAGGCAGGGTAGCATACCGATTGGATCTACATGTTGAGTTGGGATAGATCCACGACACCTTTCATGTCTCGCAGTTGAGGAAATGTATTGCCGACGAGTCGGCAGTGGTGCCATTAGATGATATTTAGGTGGATGCAGGCCTAAACTATGTTGAGAGACTAGTGGCAATCAGGGATCGAAAGGTTAAGGTTCTGAGGAACAAGGAAGTACCCATGGTACAAGTGCAGTGACAACATCAGAAGGGGTCCGAGCTGACATGGGAGTCCGAGTTTGAGATGCGGGATCAGTATCCGGAATTGTTTTCAGTGTGAGACTTCGGGGATAAAGTCTAGTTCTAGTGGGGGAGAATTGTAACAGCCCGAAATCCAGGTACCCTTTTATTTACGCCCTTCATCTTTAATTTAATTCATTTAGGGTTTTGCATGATGAGCGAGTACGCTGGGCGTACAAGGAGTACTCGCGCGCTTCATTTTAACGCGTTCCCACTCGGGTACGTTGGGCGTAACCGGTCCAGAATTAAAAACCCTAATTGATGGGGTGGCTATAAAAGGGATGTGTTGGCTTGACTCCTCAGCCACCATCCCTCAGAAAGAAACCCTAAGAGAGTGTTTATTCGTTCCTAGCCCATTTGTGAGTGTTCTAAGCTTGGTGGTGTCATTTCAAGGTAGCAAAGGAGAAGAAGAGTTCATTAGGAAGGATAGAAGTTGGTGTTCAAGTGTAGAACCGAGCTTTGCAAAGGTTGGAGCTTCATTCTAAGGTAAAAAGTTCGGATCTTGACTTGTAGTTCTTGTGGTATGCTTTATGGACCATTTTCTAGGGTTTTGGTCCCAAAGGTGGAGACTTTATGAGCAAATGGTCTCCATTAGCTTAGATCCATCATATTTTTGGTCCATCTGAGTTGTAGATTCATAAAAATGTAATCTTGGATGTGAATGTTTGGCCATGCATGAGATCTATATCCTTGAGTTGAAATGGAAAGGTGTTAAGGAGTGTATGAGCCTTTACAGCCATGCCAAGGCTTAAAGGTTTCGACTTTATGAGTAAGGATGTTTAAATAAAGTCGGATCTAGAAGTTGAAGTTATGGCTTAACCGATTAAGACCATAAATGAAAAATGTATAAGTCTGATGGTTACGTTGGGCGTAACTCCCAGTACGCGCAGCGTACTGGGTGGAGACCCCGACTCTTGGGTTGGCGATGTATGCCCCGCGTACATCAAACTGTACGTCCCGCGTACACAAAAGGTTGGCTTTTTTTTGACTTTTTAGGTTTTTGGTCAACATGTAGACTTTGAGTCAAGGAAGGGTAAAATGGTCTTTTACCCTCTGAGGAATGATGATAAGGGGTAAAGTCTAGTTGTGGAAGTCGATATTAATTAAAATGATATTTGTTATGATTAGGCGAGGTTGAGTCTTCGTTGGGATTTGGAGTAGCGAGTACGCGAGATTCTAGACTTTCCACGAGGTGAGTTTTCTCACTATACTATACCCGAAAGGGTTTTATTGTGTGACCGGAAGGTTGGATATGTTATGAGTTGTATGCACTGTGTATGATAAGTTATTCGTTTGTAAGTGCTATGTATGCTATGTTTGATATGGGCCGGAAGGCATTATGTTATCGGTCGGAAGGCATATATGATATGGGCCGGAAGGCATTGTGATGTGGACCGTAAGGTTGACGCAGGTAGGACCGGAAGGTTTACCGAGTCGGGACGGATGTCCCCTGAGACACATGGACCGGAAGGTCAGGGCCTGGAAAGGCGTATGTTCATAAGTAGTATTTTGGAGAACTCACTAAGCATTTATGCTTACAGTTGTTGTGTTATGTGTTTCAGGTACTAGCGAGGACCGTGGGAAGGCGCCGGCGTGATTGTACACACTGACGAATGAACTGTTTTATGATCATGGGATGTATTTTGTTACAATGAAATTTGTTACACATGTGATTTCAGAATATTAAATGTTGGTTTTTTGATGTTTGCAAAAATGAAAAATTGTTTTGAAAATTTACGTTGTTACAATATATTTCTTTTTGCACCTCAAAAAATAATGTACTTGTATAAACCTTTGATGCTTGCAGTTCTATTTCTCGAGGTGTTTGCATTTTATATGATGCTTTCTTTGATGCCCTATCAAGCTCTCATTGAGTATTCCTTTGCTTTTGAATGGCAGTGTCGTAATTCATCATGAAATTCAAAAGTAAGTTCCCTCTTTCTGAATATGTATTAAAGAATGAATTCATACTCTCTGACCTCGATGCAGTCTTCATCAAACCACACATTGGAATATCACTAAAATATCCAGGTATCCATGAATCATGTATTGTAAACATGTCTTCAAACCATCTTGTGTCTTTAAGATTGAATTCCTTCATAAGCAAACCCTACTTCACCTCAAAAACATCAGGTTTCATATTAATGTCCCAAACAAGGTTCGAAAACCTTTTTCTAAAGTCTGTGTTTGTAAATAAATCATCTGATATCTGTATTAAAACAAAAATATTCATAAATTAATAAATAATAATAAGTAAAATAACAATCAATATTCATAAATGAATATACTAATAAGTAATATATTTGAAATATATTAAAATAATACCTTTTTTTCAACTTTTTCATTATATGCCACATACATAATCGGTGTTTTGAATTATGAAACACATTCTCAACAGCTTGTTTTATTGCAGCATCTTGATCAGTTAAAACAAGTGTTGGTGCTTTCCCATGAGTTTTAAGAAATGATTTAAGCAACCAAGAGTAAGACTCAATGCTTTCATTGCTTAGCAACCCAGATCCAACAGTAACCGATTTTTTATGATGGTCAATAGCAGTAAATGGAACAAAAACCATTCGATACCTAACAAACAAAAAAAATGTTCATTAGAGTCAATTTTTGATGTATTAATAAGTGAATATAAAAATATTCATATATGAATAAGCTATAAACAAAAGTAGATAAAATAACTTACTTGTTTGTTCAGAAAGTCGCATCAAACGAGATAACATCACCAAATTCAGCATAATATGCCTTCTCCATTTCATTAGCCCAAAACATACAGTCCAAAACATCATATTGACAATTGAACTCAAATGAGTAATTTGGATAGTGAGCTCGACGGTCATTCATTGTGTTTACTATCATTTGGGTATCTTTATAACCAATAACCCTGTTGATATCTCTCCTTGAATTTTTATAGTCAACTACTTTGGGCTTTACAAACTCATACCCACCTCTCAGACTTACCCTAAACTTTTGAGCCATAGTTGGACCTATTTTTTATGTGGAAGCACACACAATAAACTCTTTTTCTGAATATGACATTTGTCTCGCCTTTTTTAAATCGCTTCTCTTCTCAAGTGGATGGTTGTGAAGTTCATCAAACTGAAAAACTTTAAAATCTGGAGTTCCATACACAGATTCAAATATAATCTTTGCTTGACAACCAATAGCTCTTGAATTTGAATTTCGTGTCCTCTTAACACCACTTGTACCTAATGTGTCACAAGATTTCTTTTTCTGTTTACCACCACGATTACATATAACATGTTTCTTATTTATAATCTTGTTATCAAACCTTGTCTGTATGCTCAGCCTAACATCAAAATCACCAATTTCAGCATACTCAGAATACATTTTGATAGCCAACTTTAATGATTTAAAGATTAAACCCTTAAAAGGAATAAGTTGAACAGGTACATCTGGCTTATAGACATGTTCTCCAATTATATCATCAAAATATTGTGCATCATGTACTGAACTTGAAGATTCACCACCTAAAATAATAATGTATGAATAAAACAATAATATATATAAATACATAAAACTCATATAAATAAAACAAAAAACAATCATATATGAATAAAACATTCATATATGAATACATAAAATTCATGAGGATTCAAAATATATAAAATAAAACATAACTTATTCATATATGAATAAAACGAAAAAAAATAATAAATTTGAAATTACAATCAATACACGTTTGTTCATCTATGAATAAGACAACAATTTATTCATTTTAACATATTCATATGTAAATAAAATATAACTTATTCATATATGAATAAAACGAAAAAAATAATAAATTCGAAATTACAATTATCACACGTTTATTCATATATGAATAAGACAACAATTTATTCATATTAACATATTCATATGTAAATAAATTCATATTAACATATTCATATGTAAATAAATAATAATCAACAAAATTAAAAACAACAAAATAATTTAATAACTGATACCTTCAAAAAATGAGTTCTCAACATCTTCTTCTTCACTCTCACTCATAGAAGAATACAAATCACCATCAATAACACTAGAATTTGACATAATACCCCAAATGATCTATATAAATAAACAAAAACAATCTTAATATCGAATATATCTCACAAAAAAAGTCGTAAAGATGAAAACCTGGTTAATTTCGAATATATCTCACCTCAACGTACAAAATATCTGAAAGAAACTTAAATCATATATGATCATATGATGTAATTAATCAACCTCTCTCAGTACAGAACATAAAAACTACAACGATATAACTGATGAAATAAATATCTCAAACTACTTAACAAAAATCCGATGAAATAACTCCAATACATATTCGAAACTTGATAATCTTGATAATGAACTCCGATGAAACAACTCCAAAAGGAATATGATAAGCGTAATTCCAAATAAATTATAAAAAGCAATAATCTTGATAATGAACTCCGATCTATCCGATTCAAACGATATACATACTTGATCAAATCGGAAACTTAAAACAAAGTAGAAAACTGAAACACAGATACGAAACTTCACGATTAATTGAATGAAAACGTATAATTGCTAACGAGTTATAAAATAACTCCGATCTATCCGATTCAAACGATATACATACCTGATCAAATCGGAAGCTGAAAAAGAAGTAGAAAACTGAAACACAGATGCAAAACTTCACGACTAATGGAATGAAAACGTATAATTGCTAACGAGTTATATAAAGAAAATAATTTTGATAATGAATTCCTCATATCCGATTCAAATGATATAAAGATATGATCAAATTGGAACCTGATAACACAAACAGATAATTTCTATGTAAAAAAGTTGCTAATTTACAAAGATACCCTTAATGAAAATGGACACGCGTATTTTTTTTTTTTTTTTAATTTGAATATGTTAGATAAATGATTGGCTGATAATGATTCCCTCATTCTCAACCTTTTTTATTTTCTCAATTGAACCTATATATATATATATATATATATATATATATATATATATATATATATATATATATATATATATATATATATATAGGGAGAGGATCAAATGAGAACGCTTAAAAGGTTGAGAACGCGAGAACAGTTCTGGACCAATCAATACATAAGGGTGTTAACGGAATTTAGCAATGTAATTAAATTATAAAAAGATAAAATATAATCATATTTTCCTATAATTTAGGGATTATGACAGTTTCCTTAAAACAAGAATTTAATGTTATTTTTAATATTATTAAGGGATAAAAAAATGTTATTTCCGATTTTGTTTTGAGAGTTTTCAGAAATTTTTTTATGATTCGCTATGTATAGATATTCATTGGTGAATAATGTTGTTCATAACAGATTTACTAGAACTTAAAAATTGTTCATGACAGGTTTACCGAAATTTTTTTCTAGAATTTTCAAAATTTATATGATATCATGTTAATCATGAACGAGTAAAAAGTAGACAAAAAAAAGATGTAATATACGACTTATTTATCTAACAACAATCAATGGAAATATATTCATCTAGTAACAATTACTTTTACTCAAAAATACATACATCTAATATTCATCATGTTTTATTCTTAAATGAATAAAACTAAATTTAAATATACTCATAAATACATATTTGATTCTTTTCTTGCTGCTACATATGTTTCTTTTTTCTTGTGATGAATCTTTTCACATGAAATATGATGCTTTGATATTAACTTGTGTAGTTTTTTTATAGCAGAAATTCGCAAGCAACACTTTGTAAGGTCATAACTATTTTGAATTCACGAGCCTTGAATACCTATCACAATTTTTAGACAAATGAAAAATCAACTTTGTTTTTTGATATTTGAAATCCATACAGAATGGTTATAATAATAAAATAGATACAGTACAATAAAAAGATAAATAATTCCAATACATTTGCAATCCTAAATGAATAACGCATAGTTATGATACATAAAAATAATCTAAAAACACATATAATCACAAATAAACAAAGCACAATTTCAATCATATATAAAAGAGTCAAGATAAAAATATAATAAAAAATGAATAAAGCATGATATAGAGATAAACAAATATGATATAATCACAAGCATAAATTAATAATGCATAATCAAATATAAAAAATCTTTGTAATCATAAATGAACAAAATATTATAAGAATCAAATTTCTAATCAAATATAAAAAAATCTTTGTAATCATACATAACATCAAGAAACAAAAACTAAGTTGTTAGAGCAATGGATAGTAAAAAGAAAATTAAGATAACTAAGTAAAAGAAGGAACCAAATATGTGTGTTTACTGTGTATTCTTTTAGTGCACGATATGTCATTCAAAAGGTACAACACAAAACATAAAAACAATATAACAAAATAGCATCTAATACCTGTAGTGCTACTTGATAAATCAGCCTTTCATCACCAACTGCTTCTTCAACGACCCCAGGGCGAGAATGACCAGATTGCCCTGCATAATGTGTTGTAGAAAGAACAGACATTGATGGTGGTAATAGCCTATTGCCATGGTTGTTTTTCATAGCTAAATCATTGTGGGCCCAACTGTAATTGTCTTGTGGGTGAAAGTCAAACTTTGTTTGAATTGATGATGTAGTAACAGGAAGATCGTGTTTTCCATAACTTTTATCTTTTTGAAGACTTGGACTGGAACTAGAAGAAGATGGATTCTGAAGGTATGATGGAAGCATTCTTTTGGCATCTTTCTGAGGTAACCGATCATTAGAATCTGAATCTAATATAATAGTGATTTTCAATAAGAATTATTATTTAAACTGATATATGATATTATAAGGAGCACATTTACCATGATTTAGAAAAGCTTTCCTATGATTGTCGTTTCTGACTATATACCATCTTGAATTTTTATAAACTTTACTAGACTGAGGCTTTTGAGTATTCAAAGCTGATTCTTTTTTAGGAGGGGGCTTTTTAGTTGATCCACGGGAACCTGGAATTCAGAGAAATGTTTGTTATGATTCATGAATAATAACAGAAAGGTTTTGTATAGCTTTGAGATTTCAATTTATAGCGAAAGTATTTACCTTTATTACTTGACACAGATGAAGAACCCCAAGAAGGAAGAACCCCTAGTATTGGCCTTCACTACCAGCTCATCTATGGATGCCATTGCAGACACCCGAGTATCTACTTTCCCTAACCAATATCGATTCCAAAACGGTGCCAATGGTGAACGAACCTGCAATCCAACACAAACGCTTCAGTGTCCAAATTTAGCAATCCCCAAAAAGAAATCAACAGATTCCCTCACAAAACCCTCGTAGTTTGACTACTAATCAACCCACGAGGAAGATTAACAATGCATGAATCCTTGCAATAAAGAAAGTAGTTTCACATGAACCATAAACCAACTACGATGATAGAACGTAAACATCAGTATATCACCAAGAAAGCAGATAAACGTAGCCAGGTTTGATGGATAACAGAAAACTCCATTTGTAAGGCTTGAAGGGTTCCTCGATTTTTCTGTTTGTGGGTGATTGCAATAGGAAGAAAAACTTTGTGCCTAGCTCTCCTTCAACCAATTACCAGTGCCTTCCACAACCATTTACGTCCTTTAAGGCTTGAAGGGTTCTTCGATTTTCTGTTGGATTAGGGTTCCACAACCATTTTCGTCCTTTGAGGCTTGAATGATTCTCTGATTTTTTTGTTGGATTAAGGTTTAAGAAAACATGAAATAATAGAGGATAGATGTGAGGTGATGGTGTGATGGTCGACGATGGTTGCAAATGATTGTATAAAGTAATCGATGATAGAGGTTGGCGGGAGATGATGAAGGAAAACGGTGGTGACATAGCAATGGAGAAGAGGAGATAACGTGAAGAATGATGGGGTGTGTAGCCATTATTCTCAATATAATAAGATTAGGGTTCTGTACTTAAGTAGTGAGAGAAATGAGGATAAAGAACATCATACCTAAATTATAGGAATTTCTATTTAATTAAATTATATGGATTTCCTATTATACCCTTTTAGCCATTTTAAAGTTACGTATTTAGCACATCAGTTTTATAATATACATAAATGGTCCAGTTAATTATAACCCTAGATCTAATTATTTAGAAGGTTGTGATCTGTTCTCGCGTTCTCAACCTTTTAGGTGTTCTCATTTGATCCTACTCCTATATATATATATATATATATATATATATATATATATATATATATATATATATATATATATATATATATATATATATATATATATATATAAAAGATAAAAACTAATTAATGAAAAAACCAAATGGAAAATGAAAGAAGATGTGAGGGTGGGCTTGGGCCTAGACCAGACAATTTCAGACACGAAGACACGAATCTGATAGAGACACGACACGATACGAATGCATTTTAAAAATTGAGATAAAACTTATTTCTCATCGTGTAATTGTATCGTGTCAAATTCGCTGTTGAAAAGAATACACCTAAATTCAATTTTGAAATTCGAATCAGATTACTAATAAATCTATTAAAGGATACGTGGTTTGATAAAAAAAAAATATCTCCGGCGTTTTTTACCCTTTCTCGATCAAAAAAGTTCATTTTAAATCTATAATATTCTAACGTTTACTAAGAAATCGTTTTGATTGAAATGGAAAACATTCAATCCCATAATGAATTAGTTAATGCGTTGAAAGAAACTAACTAAACTCAAGAGTTTTTATTTCATTAGACCGATGACCTTAGTTAATTCTATATGAGAAAAGTGAATATACCTTAAGGGTATATAACTTTAGGTACCCAAACACACCATAATATGTCGTTTTGTTTGATATATTCATTATAATGTTATTAAACTTCAACTCTAACTTGATTTACTTTCAAGATTTTCGAATTTTCATTATTATTTTCCTCTTACATCACATCTTTTTGCCGACCACATACTAAGCTATATATATTGTAGTTGAAAATAAAAATTATTTAAGAGTAAGATAAATGTGTAATTTATAAAAATCATGGAAGTAAATCAAGTTAGAAGTTAAATTATAAGAACCTTAGACAACTAGAATGAATTATATGATACAAAACGACGTGGTATGGTGAATTTGGGTACCTAAGTTTATATACCCTTAAGTGTATATTCAATTTTCCCATATATATATATATATATATATATATATATATATATATATATATATATATATATATATATATATATATATATATATATATATATTCAGGACCACTCTCTCACTAGAAAAACATTAATTGACCATATAATATTATTATATTAAACGTCAATTTATTTCTAAAACTATTAAATGACGATATTACTAAATAGTTTAGTTCCTTTTGACCGGTAAAGATTCCCTCATAATAAAACCGAACACAATTAGCATTAAAACTAAAAGTAATTCTCCAGCTCCAAGGTGATTGGATCTTTAGTAAAAGTTGTAATCTTTTAAAAACCCAAGTGGCCAAACATCAGATTGTATAGAATCAAATGAGATCTCCCCAACTTCAAGGGTAGTAGGGCAACCATGTTCAAATATAATCGTAACTTAACATCCATTCCTCTTGGTCCCGAAGGCCTATTTGCCTTTCACGAACTCAAGGGTTACCATTAACTTAGGGTGTGCTTAAAGTATACATTCACATGCTCATTCCACTAACAGCTATCTCCCTGGTAAACTATATATAGTACTGTCAACATTTTGGATGGTTCCTAAGACCCTAGCCTTTATGTAGTCCTTCTCTCTTAAAAAAAGAACTGGCTTTATAATATAATAATTATATCTTGGCGGTTAATAAAGATATTCCAACTTTAAAGTACAGGTTTTGAATAACTTGCTCTTTAAAATTTAAGAAAGCAAGACCTTTTTTTAATAACCCACTTGAGGGGACAAAGATTCTTTCAGTCAACCGCTAAAAGTTTCATACAACTTGCATGCACACAAGTATATATATATATATATATATATATATATATATATATATATATATATATATATATATATATATATATATATATATATATATATATATTATAAACTGTTATAAAAGAAAACAAAAGAGGGTCTCCCTAGGTCAAGGGGATGAGAGGGTGCTTCCAAATACTGATCAAGAGGACAGCTATGATCCTGGAATATTTGTATCTTAGGTATCTCCCCGATGGCGACTGCATGTGATTCATTAGTACTTTTTTTGGGTATCGGAATTGGGTTAGTGAAAAGATTACTTTGTTATAGTTTCTTGTTACTTTGGTAGTTTGTTTGGACTCTCAAGCTAACCCTACTAGAAAACAGTGGCAGTACCCACTGAATCTTAACGGAAAACTTCGTCGGAAATAACGGCGGAGAGTAAAACGTTTGCCATTAATAAAATTTTATACGGTAACATGCAGACGAGGTTGAAAAGTTAAAACTTAAAATCTATCTGTAATTACTAATATTGTTTTAAAAAAAATAGTATGAAAAGATTAAATAATAGATCTTATTATAATTATTAATGTTAATAATATTATTTATTATTATAAATGTTTTTTGTTAAAATTAAAAATTATCATTATAAATATTGATATTAGTAGAGTTTTTTATGAGTAAATTACACGAATGGTCCTATGGTTTTGGGTAATTTGCATTAATGGTCTCTAACTTATTTTTTTAACTCGGAAGGTTTTCACTATTTGTTTTTATTACACATTTGGTCCCTATTGATTGTTTTTCTTACGCGTTTGGTTCATATCTTACCTAGAAAGACTATTATTTAATTATGAAAAAAATGGTAGGGTAGGTAAGGTAAAGTGAAGGAGGTGGTGTTAGAGGTGTGTTTATATATATATATATATATATATATATATATATATATATATATATATATATATATATATATATATATATATAAAGTGAAGGAGGTGGTTTTCACTATTTGTTTTTATTACACATTTGGTCCCTATTGATTGTTTTTCTTACGCGCTTGGTTCATATATTACCTAGAAAGACTATTATTTAATTATGAAAAAATGGTAGGGTAGGTAAGGTAAGTGAAGGAGGTGGTGTTAGAGGTGTGTTTATATATATATATATATATATATATATATATATATATATATATATATATACACACACACACACATTAGAGGTGTGTTTATATATATATATATATATATATATACACACACACACACACACACACACTTAGGTTATTATATTCTAACTAATTATTATGTGAATGTATGTAGACCACTCATTTTAGTTATTTTAAGAAAAAATGATTAATAATTATTATTTAATTGAAAATAATTCAGAAATACCATCTAATTTAACTATAAGAGAATTTTGGCCAGTTGAGATAAATTTAAAAAAAGGAAAATTCCTGATTTTTTGGGATAATTAAATTTATTAATTTAAAATTCTAATTTTTTTAATTAATTCAATTTTTTAATTTTTAACTATACCCGATTTTATTTTGACAGAATGTCATTCTATTAGAGTAATATTTTATTATAATGGCAGTATACATATTTTCTGACAGAATACATGTTTTGATTAAATGAATTTCTTGAAAAAGATAACGTCTTCGAACCATTAGTTGAAAAATAACAATATCATTGTTTACTCATGGACATCTGAATGTAGATTCATACATATTTTTACAGAATAACGTTCTTATACATTTTATTACAACGATACATATTCTAATAGAATATATTGCTAATCCATTCTAAACGAAT